TCTAGTGTTAAAGGACCAGTGTGTAAGTTTTAGCAGCATCTAGCAGTGTAGTTACAGATTGCAACTCCATTGCTTCACCCTCTCCTTCTAAGCACGAAGTACAAACTAGATAGGGGCATTTATGTTTTTCATGCATTTCACAGCCACTGGTAAAATGCGTGAAAAACATAAATGCCCCTATCTAGAGCCAGTGTTTGATTTGTCCGTTCAACATGGCGGACTCCATGGAAGGCGTTATCTGTAGATAAAAATGGCTCATTCTAGGTTAAGGGAAACACAACAATTCCTATACTTATAGTTTTGCATATTATATTCCATTCCTGCCAATAGATCCTGCTAAATGTTACATGCTGGACCTTTAAAGTTCAACAATGTCATGTTTGGTGCAGACACAGTGCTTTTTGCTTTGCATCTGCAGATGTTTTTGTTGGGAGTGGTTTGTGATATTATTTTAACTTGCCCAAGCAAGAATCTGTCGTGGGGCAGCTTAGTGCCGCTTAAGTAATCATATTAAATAAATCAGAGGTGATTTGACATCCTGCCATACAAGTGACATATAACAAAGAAGTTGTGGTTCACTGAAAGCACACTGTATACATACCTTTGCACACACTTTGTTGTCAAACCATTGTGTTTGAGGATTAAAATTGTGTTGCTTTTATTACTTATGCTGTTTATTTTGTCTTACTCCTTCACAGAATGGCACAAAGAAATCCTGGGACTTCATGCGAACTCATGACAGGTAAAACATGTTTCATTCTCTGCTGTTGGATGGAAGCAGTGCCCTCACCCCACTCATTCTATGTGCACACATAAACACAAACACATGCATAAAGAGATGGTACAGAATGGACCAACACACAAAACCAGCTCCGGATGTGTTAGAAACATTGATGTGGAATAGGCCAAAGACAGAGCGGAGTTTGGTTTGCGTAGCCAAGACTTCACCTCTAAAGAATGTCTGCCAGTAAAAAAGCTTTGAAATGTTCATGTCAGAAGACATTTTGCAATCTGAAGAGCTTATTGCTTAAGTATCTGAATCTGATCTAGCGCTCAGGGATCAGGGAGGATGAATCTGTGTGCTAAGGAGCTTGATTTACACCAATCTTGACCCATACTATCTCTGTAAGTCTAAATCTTATATCTACTCTTCATCCTGCGCCATTTTACTTGTAGGATATTTTTTCATGTACTTTCTGGTGTACCGTGAAATATATAAATGTAATAATATTCTGAAATCCAGTAAAAGACATACATTGCATATGTTTTTGTCTTTCACCTATAGCCAATATCATCATCTCCGTATATTTTTTAAAACCTTTATTTATCCGGGGGGATAACTGAGAGGAAGCGTGTCTTTTTCAAGAATGCCTTGATCACATTCACACAGTTATACATTCACGCCTGGAAGCTGTCCAGTTCAACCACAGTCTGCTGGCAACTGTAGCAGTTGGGGTTAAGGGTCTTGCTCCTGGCACTTGCTCAGTGGTGGAGGGGAGATTGGACCAGTGACCCTCTGGTCACAAGCTCGCTTCTCTAACCTTTAGCCCACCACTGCCATTTTGTGTCTATATGTATACCTTTTATTCTCTGGCATTTCTGAAAGATGCCTAATACTAGGAGGATGGTCAAGCCAAAACAGGCCTTTTTTTTTTTTTTGGTAACTGTTGCCCTGTTTTTCTACTTGGCAATGGCTATAAATGTCTGAGCTTCACAGGGGGCACTGTAAGAGAAATATCACACATTTGTGTCAAAACCCCAGTTCCTATTTCCCTGTTTTGCCCAGGGTACCATAATGCCCTGAGGTAAGTCTTGGGTCATTTAAGCCCTCTTTCCTCAAGTCCTGACCCCAAAGAGAGGTCCCTGTGAAAAATAGTACCACTGAGACAAAAGCAGTAAACCACAAACCTGTACTTCCAAAAGAAAATACCCCATGGGAACATCCATCCCTCCCCCAGGTGGAAATTCTGCCAAAGTGTTGTTCCCCCTTTAGCGTGTATTGAATGGACCCAGAATTGTTTTGCATTTTTGTTTAAGTGCGCATAACATTTTCTTCTCAGCAGGACACTTGTCAGATTTCAGGTACACTAGCAAAACATGTGAAAGACAGATTTGTAGGTAACGTACTGTGACATATCTAAACAAAGAGTTTTAGTCCTTTGCTTGTTCCTGAAATGATTCCAAAGATCAGCTTTTTTTAAAGGGGCGAACCTTCTTGAATATGTTTATCTCTCAGTGGCCATTTAGATGGTTACTGCTATTTTACACAATCCATCCATCCATTTCCCACCACTTATCTGGCTGCAAGTTGTTCCCAAGTCAGATGGGATATGCAATCTTTCCAGCTTGTTGTAGGTCCTTTTAACATTAAGGTGGAGTGTTTTACTCCAAGTTTCCGTGAGCTCAAGACTTTTTGGGCACAGGATGAAGTAAATCTTATCATTTTGGACACTATCCGCAATCAAACCTATTCAGTCACTATGCAACTCATGGTCATAAATGAAGGCTGGAAGGAGAGATTGGAAAATTTAGACTCTGTTTCCCTTTCACCATGATAGTGCTGGCTTAACCACAGACAGCACACCAATCTGCCCATTGATCTCACCCCACATCTTACCCTCACCCTGAGATACTTTGATACTTCATTTGGGGCCCCAATTCATTCCCAAGGGGTCTGGAAACTGCTAACCCACAGTTTACCATCACATATGCCATGGCCTTCAATTGGTAATTCCTAACCCTCAATCGCCCATAGTGTGAACTGGAGGTCACAGCCTGATGAAGCCCGCAGAACTACATCAAAAAGCAGAGCTGCAATATTGAAGTCTTCATATTGGAAGCTGATTGAAAAAAGCTGGAATTTTATTTATTTTAACTCCACCAAGAACTTCCTTCACTACCTGGGACAAATGCAAGACGTCCACAGGCACACAGTCATAAGCTTTCTCCAAATCTACAAAACCACATGTAGCCTGGATTGGCAAACTCCCATTGCTTTGTTATTTTGACACCTATGTGTTTATTGGAGTGTTTGCGTACTGGTGCTGGTTTACTACTGGAAGTGACTTTTAGTGATAGGCAGTATATTCAGTTTTTTTTAGCTTTGACAACAATTACATGAACTCCATTTCCAAATATTGTAGATAACCACATTTTGTCAGTTTTTACCTACCTGAACAAAACACAAAATCAGCAGAGGTCAGAGCTTAGTGCAAGAAATTTTGATTTTGAGAACAGAAAGGTAAAGTCAGTCGCTCTTGCTCGTTTGTTTGTCTTTGTTTGTTTCTATACCTTTCACTTGCTGTGAAGAGTTTACTTTGTTTGAGTTTGAGTAGTTATGTATCCCCAGCCAGCTAATAAATGTCTAGGGTACACTATTGGGATTAATTTGGATCAATTTGTTAACACAGTAACATAATCAGTTTAATTTCCCACTGGTAGGCTCCAATAAATTTTTCAGGGAGTCTCCAAGATGATTAAATGAAATAAGATGCACATCTGCTCAATTAAGTGTGTTCTAGCTAGGGGTGTTGTATGTTAATGAAAAATGTCTATATTTCAGTTCAAGATTCTGAAAAAAAAATGTCTGATTTGTTATTATGAAGTATCATGATGATGAACTAAAAATAAAAAATGTAAAAGCTGTTCAGACTTAACTGATATGAAAACCAATAAGGGCAAATTATAAGTGCTTACAAAAGGTTTAAAGAATTAAAAGAAAATGAGTTCTAGTATCAGAAGATGGCTTATATAGCACGTAACCCAGATTTGTATTTTTACGACAAAGGCCTGATAATAATGTCTTGATCCTAAGAGCTTTACAGCGCAACCAGTAGTCACCTTAGTGCTGCTCCTCATATGTCTGCTATAACCCAGTTTTCCCACTGTCCAGCTAGAAGCCCTGCAGAGAAAGCTTAACGGTGCATGAAAAGTCCTAAGCGTCCGTTTAGCCTGCTTCTTGGTTTAACCATTAGAGCCTTTTTTTTTTTTCCAGCGGGAAGCTGTAGAACAGCAGTAATGGTGTGGAACAGCAATACATGACCCAGGCTTGCCTCAGGGGACAGTTTCAATGCCTCAGGCCTGTGTGTCCCACTTTTGGACCAGATCTAACACATTATCTTATCCATACTTGTACACTTCACTACAGTATACAGTTTCACTTCAGTATCTTCTTCAGCTGTAGGCGGTCACAAATCTCAGCACTGGTTTTTCATTGCCCGGATGTTAAGAATAGACGTAGGACTTTCACTTTAAATATCTGTATTGCAAACAGATATTAAATCAGTATCAGTCCAGGCGCTGTAGCTAGAAACAAGTTGTAATACCAATGTCCTTGTTCCCTCTTACCATGGGAAAGACAGGGCAGGGCTTCCTGCCGCCTCAGACACATCCGCTTTCCCAACACAGACTCCAAGCCTCAAGTCTCCACTGGCAGGGACAGTCACACTCGCATACAGTAAACCACCTGTGTGTATACAATTCACTGGGTGCCAGTGGTGAAGCATATCACACTGACCTTCCTTATTTTATCTCTACACTCTGCTTGAGAGTCATCGTTTAAATCTCGCAAGGTGTGGTCCTATTTCAGAATAGTGGTTAGTTTTAGATTCGTTTTAAGTATAATTTGTGGTTTTATTTAGACTTATCAAACATTCACGTTTCAACTTATTCTGCTTCCATTCACATACTGTATTGCATTACTTTTATGTAAAATGTTTTAGACAGAAGCTAAGAGTTTTAGTTTTAAGGACAAGACTGCATCATTTGATGCCCGTTGCACACGCCGGACTGTACAGACAACTGTTGCCAAGGTACGGCAGCTCGGATGTGCCACTCCAGGGAGCAAAATTGCTGCTATTGTGGAGTGTCGCTGGGAAATAGGATAGTGGTGTATCTTGATACGGGATGATGAAGTATGAGTTAGCATAAGAAAAACGACAGCCATAGGTATTTTGACATGTGTCATACGCTGCTGGACGGTGTTGCCCTTTATTTTTTCCTCGATAACAGTTTCTTTTACTTTTTTGTTTGAAATGAGTCCCTTGTTCATGCAAGTTTGGTTAGTTTAGTCAGACTTTAACCATTTTTGAACCACAATTAAAGCCAGATTATACTGACCTTATCTTTTGTCACGAGGGACTGTGTGTACGTACTGTGTCTGCCATCAAATGTAGGTACACGGCTGAGTATGCAGACGTCAAACATCCCACTTTCTACTTTTGTTTTTGGACGATAGTTACTGTCCAGAAGGACTTGTCAAGCAAGATACAGTAGGCAAGACATGGTATTCTGATTGGATTAGAGTTCAGTTAGTTAGTGTGTAGTTGTAAAATTTGTTGTACTGGATCAAAACTCTCCTATATCCTGGTAGAGATTACCAGACCACTGGTATATCATGTAGGCAAAGAGATTTACTGTCAGAAAAAGTTGTCTGATTTTATTTAAACTTGGCCTTTTTCTCTCTTTTCCCTTTAGTGTATCAGTGCTGATCTTCAACACCAGCTCACACTGTTTTGTTCTTGTCAAGCAGTTCCGTCCAGGTGAGTTTTCACCATCCAAAGCAGGAGACCAATAGTGCTGTGGAATCCAGTTAATTCATTTTCTTCTTGTCACCGAGCTAGATCTTGATTGTTATGTATCCTGTGGACACTTTTATCAAAAAAGCAGTACATTACAATCCCTGTTTATTCAACTGGATCATAGTAACAATGCAGACTCATAAATAGACCACAAGAGGCCCCGTTACAAAGCAGCCTAACCTCCTTTGTTAGAAGTCGCCAGGGACTGTTCCACACCGCAGTGTGCTAAATTCAAGGAAGTCTGGGCATTGATATATTTATTTCCTCTCCTCTCTCGTTCCTTTATCTAAAAAAAATCAGTTTGTCTACAACCTAGAATGTCATTTGTTTTTAAACAGGGTGTGTACGATATATTGGTCAGTTCAGTTGTATTGGACAATAAATGTTTAGAAATATGTTTTAGTTTCAGTATATTCAGGGTTTCACACAGGAAATTGATTAGCATAGGTGGTGAACGCTAAAGGCTGCATGATATGGTAGAAAAATCATGCAATTGCAATTATTTTTACAGATATTGTGATTGCAACATGATTCACAACTAGTGCGGATGACACTGAAAAAAACTAGCATGCTGCTGTGATATTGTACAGATTTCATATCTGGGTGATATATCTGAATATTATTTTGCATGTGCTTGAAGGGCCAGTGTGTAGTATTTAGTGGCATCTAGCTGTAAAGTTGCAGATTCAGCCAACTGAATACCACTAGCCTTCCAAATATGTAAGAGGAACAGTGGCTGCGAAACTCACAAAAACAATATTTCTTCTCTGTTTTACCACCAGCTGTATACATGTGCGAGTGGGAAAGGAACAAGACGCAGCCGCCTCAGTCCGCTGAAAAAACTGAGGAGGGTGCTGCTGAAGCCGCCGCCCCCGCTCCCGAGCCTCAGGAGGGCCAGTCGGCCTCAGAAGGGGATAGCTCTTCTCAGTGGCCCCCGGCCTCAGCGGGGGTCACCTATGAGCTCTGCGCTGGGCTAGTGGACAAACCCAACCTCTCCCTGGAGGAGATCGCCCGGCAGGAGGTGCTGGAGGAGTGTGGCTACGATGTGCCTGCCTCAAAGCTGAAGAGGATTACTTCTTACAGGTTAGCTGACTGCACATGTAGGAAATGTCTAAGTTTAAGTTAAGAGTTAGTTTCACTTGACCTATCCATTCCCAACACAAAGGCTTTTCACTCGTCTTTTGAATATCTGCTTTAGTCACTCCCGCTGGATTTCTTGTCCCTTAACAATTAATTTCCTGTTGTCCTATTTTGTATCATTTTCATTTATAATTTCTGAACCTCCTTGAGCTACGTTCACTCAGAAATAACCTACATTTGTATCTTTGTTTCTCTAGTTTGAATTATTGTTCTAAAGGTTGTCATTAAAAACTTCAAAAATCCTTTTATGCATCAAACACTCACTCACCCCTTGGAGGCTTTAATCAATGTAGAGAAACTCGTCACTGATGAGTTCCAAAAGTTAACAGTTTGCATGATGGAAAAAATAATCTTAATATCTTATTAAGCCACTTTTGCAGCATAATAAACTTCTCCCCTCTCGACCCCTACTATAATCAACCTCAAAATTGCGACTGGTGTAGGTTGTTGTACACCAAAATCATGTTGTGCCAAAATGGATAGTGACTTGCAACTGATTGCTTAGGACAAAGTAAAAACGTAATAACTGGGGCTGCAACTAACTCTAATTATCATTACCAATTAATCTGACTTTTATTATTTTCAAGCTCATTAGAATGGTTATTTATTGGTTCTCCAACATCAGAGCTCCTGCCTCCTGTTTATCCACTGATCAGAAGTCAAGTCTTGTATTTTGTGTCGTGTTTATTGAAGAAACAACTGTTCGAAAAGCAAGCAAATATATCACGTCAGACCACTGAATGAGCCTGTAAAACTACATTTTGGGTGGAGTCCCATTATGAAGAGAAAGTACCAGAGCTGACATTATGTAAGTGAGCTAGAAAGAAGGGGAACCATCTATTTTTGTCAACATATTATTAGCTCACTATAACTTGACACAGAAGTTAAAAGTACCAGGAAAGGAACAGTCCCACATTAAACAGCAGCACCTGGACGGCTATGACAGCTGTCATAACAACGTAACAATACATTGGAAATGTGCTTTTGATTTGACTGGAACACCTCCTCTGGTTTTGTTGGTGTCGTCTATGACCATTGTTATGTGTGGGCTGCTTCCATTAAATACATGGGTATCGTCTTAACCCTCAGGACCCCTATCAGGGTCTATCTAACAGTTGTGTAATGTCTTCCGTGGCTCTGGAGGGGATTTGTCAAGTCTGAGAAAAAGCGACCTCACATGAGTATCTGAGTTTGGGCTTGATTGAGACAACAGATTTATAACAGAAAGCTTGTGCTACAGACTGGGGGCAAGACATTTAAAGAAAATAAAGACAGACACTACAAAATTAGATTATAGGAAGTGTAGAATTTAGGGTTTTAGGAGATCGATAATAAGAACTAAAAGTCATGATAGTCTCTGCTGCACCAGTTTTGACCATTCTTATTCATAATTAGTCTCTTGCAAGTCTCCTACTATATGAGAGTGACAACTTGAAACACTGATGCATTTGGATCTTGTTAAATATGGGGAAAAAGAGTTTTGTAGGAGGAAAAAATAGAGGCATATTCGCAAAGTAAGGTATTGTTTTGGCATTGTTACTGAAATTCGGTTGTCAGGTTGGACGCAGTATTGAGGTTTTCAAACGATACTCAATTTGAAGAAAAACTTGGAAGAATAATTGCAAATGTAGACACCAATTTATTGTTTCTTTCCCTTACAGGTCAGGCGTAGGTGTAACAGGTGCCAAGCAGACCATGTTTTACGCCGAGGTGTCTGATGACAACTGTGTGAGCGCAGGTGGAGGTGAGCCACGGGAGGGAGAGCTTATCGAGGTGGTCAAAGTCCCGCTGCACGAGGCCATGACGTTTGCCTACGACGAGCGTATACCCAAAACCATGGGTGTCATTTTTAGTTTCATCTGGTTCCATAATAACATGTCTCCCAAGTACAAGATCTCCACCAATGTGTAACTAGTATTAACCAACCCTCTTTATACGGTTTATTCCAAATTAAATCAAACACTGGCCCAGCACATCCACTCTTCCCCTCATGGCTCTTCATCCTGTATTGCCTTTTTGCTTATTGGTACATGATGAAAGGTGGGCCCCTTGTCTTGTTGCCAACAGGTATCTTTAAGTTTGTGTCCTGTTAACCTTTTGAATTATACTGTATGTGGTCTTAATATTTTTCCTAAAAACTATTTTGCCATAGCTGGTTGTCACTGGCACTTTTGTCTCCTCTTGATGATTTTTTTTTTTTTCATTTTCTGTGCCATCTGTTATAAATGGCTGCATATCACTGATTTCATTTGCCTGCCCTTGATTAAAGGAATACTCCACTGCTTTTAGTGTAGGCTCTTGAATGTTAGCAAAAGCAAAAGAATATTTTAAATATACTTGATATTGGCTGAGGAAAAAGCCTTTTACAGTCAAATTCCAACTTGTTTCAACCATTCCTCCAACACTCAGTATCCATCGCAAACTCTGTTTCAAGCCATGATGCTAACCAGCCGTTTCCTAGCATTTTAGCATGCTTGAAAGTCATTGCAGTTAATGCAAACATTTCTACTTGCCAGACAGTGTGCCAGAGAGATTTTCCATCTAATATGACAATACACAATATATTAATTATATGATTGGCTCCCTGCTCATCACTTCAACCATTAAAGACAAAACAAAACAGTGGAGTATTCCTTTAAGCCATGACCCAGTAATGCAAAAACTATGCTAGTCAATGGTGGGGCCTTGTAACGAACGAGGTGTTAGATGTGTTTTAACCACCACTTGTTCGAGCATGCCTCAATTAATTTCTCTGACCCACAGCCTTTAAGCAATACTTATCATAGTATCCCGGGCTAAACAATCACTCAGTGTCACTGAAATCAGCTCTCACTCTGTTAGAAAATCTTCATTAAGTCAAACCAGTGGACATATTAGCAGACTTTTTCCTCAATAAGCAAAGTGGGAAATGTGAGTTAGGTTTCACTGCACAGAAAAAAAACATACACCTATCACTCCACTGAGGGCCTAGTTTCAGTTTTAAGTGTGTCGTCGTTATCAAGCCCAATCCTGCAAAGGGATAAGGTTACCTGAAATCCCTTTGACATGGAGAGGAGTTTTAATTTAGTTTTAATTTAGGACTGGAAGAGATAAAAACAGACTGAAAATACAGTAGAGAAGACTCTGTATAAAGGCAAAATCCTCTAGCGAGTTCATTTTATATCTGGCATGTTAAGGTTACATTTTGAACCCATTAACGCAGGTTTAGGAACATATTTAAAAGGACTGAAACCATCTTAAAATATCACCTTTGATCATAGTTCATTTTGGAGGTTTGGTGTAGTAAATCTTGAATGATCATCAACACACAAACCTAATCTCACAAAGTGAATCTCAACAGCAGTTTGCCAAAATCTCAGGTCCAAAATAGTCAAACTGTTGGTCATATTCAGGGTGGATCTCTGGATGTGCTGACGACCAGCATATTATTATATTATTATATTTCAAAGTAACTTGCAGCTTAAAGACAACAAAGTTCTTACTATTCTTACTATATTTTAGTATTTTTCTTCATTCAGAAAGGGCTGGTACTTCATTTATTAATTAATATGCGAGAAGGAAGAAATTCCCCCACCTTAGAGGTTTGTTAAAAATATGCAAGTTCCGAATCAAAGACGATAATGTTTTTAGAAAATTACTGCTCACTTAAACAGATAACACATCTCATTATGTATACATTAAGAGAACTACACCGCAGATCTTCAACCGCAGTGACCCCATGCATGTGCGAGAGTTTCAACTCTTCTTGGTGTACATAAAGAGTTGGAAAATATGACAAAATACAGTGAGTGAAGTTTAACGGTTAAGTTGTTAAAAAATGACCTGCCTAATTAACTTGATGGTTTGTTGAGTACTAAATAAAATGAAAAAGTGCTGTAAGAAATTCTATTTCCAATAATACAACTTACTGTTGATATATTTGTATACACTCTCATTTCTCAAATGAAGAAATACTCCAGGTGAATATGAGCATCAGTCCAGGATTTTCATTTTTGTTCTTCTATGCTTTTTGATCCAGAGGAATAACTGACAATCAAATGTCAACATTTTTCTTTTTTTACCCATAAAACCTTGTGTTGTTAGGTTTTTCAGTGGTTCGTTGGGTTTATGTAACTCGTTCCAACTGAATATCACAGCAGGTTTCTTAGAAGAGGACTGAGCATCATTTCCAGGCGTGTCAGTGCGGTTATCTGGTGCCACTTGACGTCTAAATGCATCGTTCTTATCTGCACAGACAAACAAAGTCAAGAGAATTCGAATCAATCAAACTAAATATGTTGGTTATAACACTGAGTCAAATATTTGGGGGGTAATTTCTACCCAGACTGTGTAGGAATATCTGTAGAACCCTTAAGCCATATTTAATTCCCTCTACGCCTAATCATTGAGCTTCTTTGTCCATCTGTCCACTGAATTTTAATTCCTTGATGTAGGATTGTATAGTTTGCTGGATCTGCTTGAATTAATTTTATTTTGTTGATTTTCTTGGAAAAAGAAAGACGACTCTCATTAGCTGTTTAACAGTAGATGTCCAACACTAAATCAGATTCTCTTTGTGTTGTTGATATCAACCCTAATATCAGTCGCAAGCTTTCAACACATACAAACTACTGGATCTGTCTACTGTAACAAGTTTAATATCAGGACACTTTGGAAAAATGTGGACAGCACCTTTGGAAAACCATTAAATGACCACTGGATGACTTGTTAGTGTTAGTGTTAGTGTTAGTGTTAGTTTCATGAGGCATGTAGAATAACTCAGAGGCACTAACAGGGCTTTTAACTGTATTTTGTTAACTACACTTCACATCATAATAACCAGCCACCATAAATGTTTTTTAGCTTTCAGAAAGTTATTTATTTGGCACCTTTATCCTCATCAGATTAATGGCCTCATTCCCTAACGCCCTTATTTTCTCCACCGTCTTCCATGTGACAATCTTTTCTTTAGTCTTCAGTTGAATAAGGTCTAAGTGGAGAGAAGTTTAATGGAGAAGCTCACGAAAAGATTCCCAATGGTGCTCACAGTTTTCCACTGTTCTTGTTGTCGTGTAGTATAAGATGAACCCATCAAATGAATTATTGAAGATGGTCACTTTTTGTCTTGGAATGAATCATTTGAAACTTAACTGTCGCCCACATTTTAAAAGGGGGTTAGCCATAATCATTCCAAAGTTGATAGAAATAAAAATAAATCTCAGATTGCTGAAATAAGGCCAACTGCTTCTGATTTGGCTTGATGTAAAATGTGACAAAACAAAAGCCATTTAAACTTTTAAGGCCAGTCTGTAACTTTATGTGCCTGTCAAATGTGGAAAACTGCCATGTAACTTTCTCTTTTGGCTGAAATTCTTTCTTTTTGCGGAAAGTTATTGCAAAAAAACACAAGGCTTTTCTTTGCCTTCTCCATAGGCTTGTCACTGTGGGCTGCGTCAGCCAGCAAGCCGACTCAGTACATATTTCTCCACACCGTCCCTCCAACTATTATCTGAAAGTTGAGCGCATTTTGTGAACAACAGAGGGCATACAGTAGCCTTAATTACTGACACACTCACAACAAAAGGGACATTTACAAAAATAGATAGCAGCTGCAGGTGGGAGGGAACAAGTCTAACGTCTAACGATGCTTGAGCGTTACAGAGAATTCGGTTGCCAAAAGAAACACAAGAACTTCAGGTTTAGCTGGTTCAGCCAGTGTCTCTATAAAGTAAGTTATGGGGTTTTTTAAATAGGCAGTTAAGATGGAAGTGGAAATTTAAATTTATGCGAGGCCTGTATTTTATTTTTGTTCAGCCTGCGGAGTCAAAACTCACAGATTGATCCGTTATCAGACCTGCAGTCTATTTTATACTCAAACATTTTTTATTAGTTTTATAAGCTATTCAGATGTAACAGCTATGTTTTTGTAATCTTATTTAGTTTAAGTCTTATGTGTGTTTTTCCTGCGTTAAAATGCTAAAATTTGAGTTTCAAGCCAAACTTTGCACTCTCATAGTGTTGATGTTATTCTAAAGGAAGCCATGTGAAAGTCAGTAACACTGACGATTGGCAGTGTTCTTGGAGGACTTAAAGCTAAAGTTCGACATTTTAGAAAATAAGATGAGGAGACTGACACCACTCTCATGTTTGCACGGTAAATGTGAAGCTACAACCAGCAGCTGGCTAACTTAGCTTAGCATAAAAACTCGAAACAGTGGAAAAGGGTAACAAAGTCTGCCTACCAGCAACTCTAAAGCTCACTATTCAACAAGTTGCATCTTGTTTGTTTTAATCCAAACAAAAACTGAAATGTAAACATTTTTACAGGGAGTTTATACAAGACTATTTCTTGGCTGGGACCTGTAACTTCTTGTGTCATGCTCTGGTTGCCTGGCCTGATTTTGTTATTTTGTACAAATTAAACATTCAAGATACAGTTTTATTACTTAGCTGTTAGCAGGTTCCCTGTTTCCAGTTTTTTATGCTAAGCTAAGCTAACTGGCTGCTGGCTGTAGTTTTATATTTACTTTGCGGCGATGAGAGTAGTATCAATCTGCTCATCTAACTCTCGGTAAAAAAGGGAAAAAGCATATTTCCCAAAATGTTGAACTATTCCTTTAAGTCTCCCACGGCCTAACCTTCCCCTCTACGACAAAAGTAAATGCACTTTTGACAGTCCAGAGTGAGGTTGCAGACTGTGCCACTAGTAAGCCATAATGCTTCTTCTATTAAATATAACACTAACATTTGAGGTAAGTAAATGGTTGTATAATTCATTCTTGCCTATGCTGGATATTAACCATTAACCCAGCACATGGACATTTCTACCTCCATCACTCAGGCACACAACGGAAATACTAATGTCCGTTTGCTTGCTTCTAAGACGCTGACATATCAAATTCTCAGCAACATGTCAGAAATGTCAAAACTCAGTGGTTCTCTGTGACAGAAATCTTAATTCATAGGTACCAGACTTTTATAGATGTACCCCCATGGCTATGCTGTAGTTGCTTCTTCAACTGTGATTGTTTCTGTTTTCTTCTGTTGATGGTTTGTGCACCATTTGACAATTTCTTACTGTATTTTCAATGATCATGAGCTGAGCAACAGTTTATCATGTACATGTTTTTAAAGGTGCTATGTGTAGTATTCTCTAATTAAACAACGTGTGTTACTGTTAAATTAGAACTTGGACCATGGATGTGACAGTTGAGACATTACC